GTCAAGAAGTTCAAATATGGGTAATTCATCGTCATTTGGTGGAATCATGAGAGACATCAAACCGGAACTGAATTGAGCATTCGTCAAAGTAGGATGACAACCAAATGCAAGATTGCCACTTGAATTTTCAATCGGATAACGTCGATAGTAGGCACCACTGAATACATAAGCAGATATGCAGAGAAATAGAATTGCAAAACTAACTATTCCACCTATCCATAATTCACCTTCACCAACAAGATCTGTTTGCTTGAAAAAACGTTTGATTCGCTGGTGTGTTTTCTTTCCTTGAGGATGAGGGACGCAGTATTTGAGAATAATCATAACAAATACGATGACTATACCTAATGCCATGATAATCAATGACCAGAAGAAGGGTGATAAAGCCACACAACGATGTGACGAAGAGGCAGAAATAACAAACATGTTTTCCATTAGAATATTGTCAAAACGAACTGATTTTGGTGATAAAGGGTGAGCATGTGCTTGGTTGACACTTGTGAGGAGCAAAGAAGATGAACTAATATTTCCGAAGGCTGAACCTAGTGGACAAAAAGCATCGCTTTCACATGATACACAGGATATTTGACCAGTGGAACCATTTGTACTGGAACCTTGAGGACAAAGCGAGCAAGGTTGAATGTCATACTGGGAGCTGAAGCTACCACCGATGCATGGTAGAAATGATGAAACTAATTTAGTGCTACTGTCTGCGAATGTACCAGGAGGTGATGGAAGAAGAATGTAAATATCGCCCTCTGAATCTAACATTATCACTATACCACTTTTAGTAACGACAAGCGATATTAGAATAGGACCGAATTCTGGTGCTAATGTCTGTTGAGCGTTTGGTATAATGGACTTGGTGGCAAAACTATTGTTAACACCAACATAATACGTAAAGACTTGTGATGCTGACCAAATATAGCTGAGAGAATATGTATTAACTAATATGACAGTAACATTATTATTGAGCCAGCCGATTGCTTTACCCATTCCTATTGCCTTTCCATTGGAAAGTGATTGCGATGGTAAGATGAATTTTAGAGTAGTTCGA